TCGACTGTATTGTTGGGCTCCCACCACCAACCACGTGTTTTAATGTTATTTGTCAAACCGAACTTTGTATCATACCAACACGTATCGTTGTAAATTCGTTGTGTGTTTATAATAAAAAAGACTAAGAACGACCACCTTATTCTTAAATTGTATTTTATTTTTAAAAGAATTGCTTTTTGAAAAAACTCTTCTTTAGAACATTTTTAAAACCCGATATTAATAAGATTCGTTTATTAAAAAGCGAATGTCGAACCGTGTTGTAAAAAGATGAAAAAAGAAAACTAAAAAACTTCCCTCATTTCAATCCATTCATGGCCAATTGTTTACACCAAACAAAGCGGTTCATTCAACATTTTAACGTATTTAACTACTACTTCGGTGGGTTTGTCATTAATATGGCAACGTACTTTTGTTGGTTAATATTGCCTTATTTAATCAAGGAACAAGGAGGGTCGTCATTCATGATTGGATTAGCCGATTGTATTACATTTGGGTTGTGTGGGTTGTTGTGCCCGGTCATTGGATTGTTTCTCGACAAGAAGTGGTTTCCCATCGACGACATCATCAGAATTGGATTTGTCCTCCAAGCTTTGTGTGGTGTTTCGATTGGTATATTTTACGTCGAAAGAGAGGGCTCACTCCTCCCTCTTTTCTTCCTGTTACTTCAACAGTCTTTTGCACTTGCTTTTTTCTGGTCGATTTGTGAATACATGTTGTCGAATGAAGTGTACAAAGGAGAGACAAATAAGAAGTTATCCATATTCAGTGTCTCATGGTCACTTGGAAAAGCAATTGGGTTTGTATTGGGTGGGCCAATGAAGTCTGCTTTTGGCAATACATTTTCACTCTATTTTTCTTCAGTCATAGTCATGATAGCTTTTGTAACGTTTCCACGCATGCCGCGACATCGAAGTTCGGTGACAAGAAAAGAGGCGAAGTTGCGGAGACTTGAAAGGCGGTACAAAAAGGAATATCCCGAGTGTGCAACGGAGGAATCACTCAAGTTTTCGAACAATGAAATCATGAAGTTGACGACTGAAGACTCCAAATCGTCGAGAAAGCCATATTACTTTACATTGTATTATCTTAACAATTTGGTCATACACTTCACGGTGTATGGTGCTATTGCGGTATTCGGTAATCAATACATTGACTTTGCGGACGCAGAGAAAATTACATTACAAGGAGTTAGTGAAGATACAGAGATATTCATCAGTGTCTTTTTGGGTGTGTTGTATTTCAGTCAGACCATTTTCTTCTTCATCTTTGGGTTATTCCACCATTGGCAATATGTTCAGACGTTAAATATCATCGTACAAATAATAATAGCAGGTATGGCAACAGGAATGATATTTTTGAGGAATGGGTGGGTATTGTGTTGTTTAGCAATTGTCATTGGGTGTATTTCCGCTTATGAGATTCAGTCGATCATTTTATATTCGCTCAACGCAAGTGACAAAGCAAGAGGAAAAGTTCTTGGACTGACTGAATGCGTTGGAGAGCTCACTTGTTCATTATGTCCGTTGTTTTCAAGTCTTATCGTGGATCAACTTGGAAATAGAGAGTATGCCCTCTACTTTTGTATTGGATTGCAAGTTGTCGGACTTTTCTTGTGTTCTGTGATACAACTTATTACCAAAATCCTTGAAATCAGAAGAAAGATCACAATTAAAAAGAACGTAATAGACAACGGTAAAGAACTTGAAGAAATACACACAGAAACACAAAGCACACCAGAAAGTAAGACAAAACCAACACAACAAGTTACAGACGTCAGTGTCCCATTAACTGTTGTTCACTCGGATGATGATTCGAGCGAAGAGTCGGATATGTCTGAATCATCTAACGATTCTGAAGAATCTGATGTTGAAACAGAGTCTTCAGTAACAGCATCAGGGTCTGAGCAGGGGGTCGATGATACAGAACAAACTATGGAACCCAAAACACCAAACACAACAAAGGTATAAATCTCTATAATTATGTGATTTCAATTGGTTCATTTTTAATAAAATAACTAATTATTTATTAATTAAAAAACATATTTATAAATATTAGTTTTAATAATAATCATAAAAATAATTGTTAATTATAATTTGAATCTCAAAACACAATTTATTTTTATTTTTGTTTATTTATATTTATTATAAATTATATAAACAAAGTTATACATATATAGAATTCAAATTATATATGTATCTATTATTATATAGTATATATGAATTAATATGTATATTAATAAATTATAATTAATATATAATCAATTTGAATGTTATGATCTTTTATTTACTGGATGATCTAGTGTTTAAATTGGTTAAAAATGGTAATGTGAATAGTTTTCAAAAATAAGTGATTCAAAATATCGAAAAAAGTTGTCCATTTTTCAAATATAAAATACGCGGTTTTAAATGAACTGGTAATTTACGTCAGTGATTATTCAAAATTGGTCATGAAAAAAAATAAAATAATTATTTTATTTTTTTATTATTTTTTTCTAGTTAGTATTACTATTTATTTAGGTTAAAGTTGTAAGCTAATATAATTAGAACGAGTTGTTTAAAATGAATTGGTAATTGTGTTATTAATAATTTTTCACCAATAATAAAATCGTACCGAGAATTACCAGTTTATAATTATATTATTAAAATAGGCTATCAAAGACGTGAATGGACGGGTAATAACTAAAACTACAATTCAATATCAAAAAAATGCATTATAGATAACAGTACTACGAATCATATTTATTTTTAAATTCTTCTTGGTTTGTCATCTAAACTCATCTATTTAAACTATTATTAATAATTTTTAAAGCTGTTTCCCTTATTTTTGTTATGAAAATAGTTTGTTGATAAATGATTTTATCGGAAAAAAAGAAGAAAAAAGCGAAAAAAGTATATAACAAGGTGCCTTTACCCGATTAATTGCAAACATCAAGTCCGATATACATCATAGTCTTGTTGAAAAGAGAAAATTAACGTGCTATTGAAAGTGTCATAACTAGTACTCATTTATTTTTAATTTTATTTTTTTTTCGGCAATGACAGACCCAAATACATTAAATAAGATAATAAATTAAAAAAAACCATTGTTATTATTAGTATAAAGTATTTAATATTTTCCATGTTTTATAATTCAAACTTTTGCCGTCTTCAAGTTCCCAAACTCATTGATAAAAAACTTGAATAAAATGTGATAGTCTTGAATAGTATATTAATAGTACAAGTAATTAGAACTTCTATTTTGGTTACCAAACAGCAAATCCCTGTTTTTCTGAATTAATTAATTCACTTCTACTTCAAAGTCATTCTTGTTTTATTACAGCAATTTCGGGAAAACGTCGAAAGTTAAAGACTTCAAAGAGTGTTGTTATGACACAGTAAAAAAATCGAAATTTTCGGGCATTTTCAATCACAACCCCATAATGTTCTATTTTTTTATGGCCAAAATTAGTTTGGGTTCATCTCCATTATTATTCAATGAAAACACAATACACGTTCAAGGTCGTGTTTTACGGAAACGCGCGCGTGGGCAAGACATCAATCGTGAACCGGTACACAACGAACGAATTCCATGCGCACGTTCAGCACCCCGTGAGTCTCTGGGTTTGTTTCTTTACTCAACTAATTTGAAGCTTTAAAACTTTAACACAAATTCAAAACAACATGAACCCGCTTTTGCATACAAATTCGTCTCACTTTCAGGATTCAAAAACAGTCGAGTTGACTTCGAAAGACAAAAAACAATACTCCGTTGTGCTTAACATGTTTCATCAACCACAAGAAGACATCATGACAAGTTCCCCAGACTTCATAGGACAAGCAGACGCAATCATTTCAGTCTTTTCTGTCGACGACCACAAGTCTTTTGAAGATGCTTCGGGATGGCTCTATTTTGGTGAACAACATTCAAACGCTTCAATTAAGTTCTTATTGGCAAACAAGACAGATAAAAAGGAGAGAGCGGTGTCAAGGATGGAGGCGATGGAATTGGCAAAGCAGTGTACTCTGAATTATATGGAGGTGTCTGCGCGGAGTGGAAAGAACGTGACGGACTTTTTCGTGACGCTTGCAAAGCTTTTGTTGAAGGCAAAGGTCACAAAACCAATAGAGAAGCCCAAATCACCAGAGAACCTTCAACAGATCCACGGGACTATATATCAGCGTCTCGATCAAGACGAGGCGGGTCTTTTACCAAATTCGGTGTTAATAACAGAATGAGAAAATATTCAATCAAAGTGTTTCAGTTAGAATTTGTTTCTCCTTTTTTACATCAAATTGAGGTCTAATACGTCTCTAATAAAGGAGGCATATTTCTCCGTGACAGTGGTGGTTGTTGGACAGTATGGATCTCTTTGTGGGACAAACATCCCAATTACCATTTGTGCTAGAAGTAAATACCCTGTTTGAAATCAATCTTTTATCAACAGTAAACAAACAAAGTTGGTCTGAAGTGAGTCCATTCTTCTCCGAGTGGAACAAGAGCTCTCTTAAAAACGAGATGATGTAATAGAAAGTGTTGTAATTGTACGTCGATAACTTTTTGAAGAGAAGTGTGCATATCTCTCGATTGTCCATTGAAAGGCCCGTTGTGGTGATATCAGTTGGAATAATTGGAGGAACTGAGTTAATGTGCGACACTAATAACCCACACATTGTATGTACATTATACTTTTTGCCACAAAGACTTTCCCCTTTCTGAAGAAGATGTTTCACCTCTAACATCTCTTTGTCATTTCCTCGTGTCAACATCAGGCATGGTGTGTCCAACCCTTTGCGATAAATGTAGTCGATTATTTTCACCAGTTGCACAGAAATACTAGCAGGTGGTTGTGATGACATGTACTTTTCTAGTTTGTGTTTTGTTGGCTATTTTCTAAGTTCTTCATAACAAGTGAAATTAACACAAGTAATAAGAAGTTAATCAAACAACTTCATTTTCATTACATTGATTCATTCTAATACTTTTTATTATATTTTCAATTAATTAATTATATAGTTTAATAATTATTATTTTACTATATTAAAATATTCAGTAGAATGAAAAACATATTCGTTATATAATATAACATTAAAAATTGTAATGTATTATAGTGATTTTAATTGTGAATTAAAACCAAAGTTAATTTAAGTTCTAATATTTTATATTTTTATTTAAAACTAAATTTAATTTTAAACTATTAAAAAACTAAACTTTTTGTAAACATTAAAACAGTTGTAATCCATGACAAAAGGCAAATGTTAAAGTTATATAAAAAGGTGTTTAGGATCTTCTAAAAGAATATATAATGATAAAGCAAAATATCACTCGTATAATTTCTTTAGCGATTGTCCCATTAGCACCAGTTTGTTTATTCTTCTTGTAGCATACGATAAACGTTAACACGGAAAATGACATCGAGTTTTTTGCATGTTTATTTTCCTCATTAACACCACTAGGCGTCAAAGAGTTTAGAGAGTCGGCTTATCTCACAACGGGGTATAATAACTTACTTTACGCAGTTCCGTTTTTCGGTGTTGTTGCTGGGCTTTTTGCTTTTGTTGCGGGGTGCATCTTTTTTAGGAATCACGAGTCCCCCAAATTTGAGTGGACGATGTGGCTTCTAATGACGTCGACAACAGTATTCATGATCTTATTATGGTTCATTGGCATGATAGGAGCACCGGCACACGAGAAAAATCACTGGGAGGAGTATCAAACCAAAGACTATTTCTACGAATTGTACAATGATTGTTGCTCCTACAAATTCCGAGCGCCTACGTGTGGGTGTCAAGAGCTCAATTGTGAAGATTGCACAAAGCCTTATAATGTTCAGTACTATACAAACGGATTTACTTCGTCAATAGTTCTTGCGATCATGTTGATTTTATCGTTTGTGATGATGATCTTCTTGGAAATGGCTGCTACCCCGTTCTACATTTTAATGAAGAGAATAAGAGGCACTCACTCCACTTAAGTATATACTCTTACTATTATGTATTAGTTTGTTAATAGCTGCAATAGATACTAAAATATATAGTTTTGTATAGTTCTATAAATAAAATACCAGTAAAAACTATAAAAATAGTATAGTAAATTATTACTTCTTGTTTGTGATCTTCAGTCCGATTTCGACGACTCTATTTGTGCAGAGGGAGTCGACCCCATACTCGTACTCCTTCTTTGACGCGTCCATTACATCGTTTTCAGCACCATAAGTGAGAAGTATGAGACCTTTTTGATGAGCCAAATCGACAAGGTGTGGTTCTTTCATCACAGCGATAGAGTCTGAGACGACGCCAGTAAGCTTTTGTCTCTCTGCAAAATTAATTGCATTGACCAGTGAATGTCTTCGAGAGTCTGTGACGTATTTTTCGATGGTTCCAGTAGTTAGTAATAACACCGGGTACTTCTGTTGTTTCTTTCTTAAAAGAGTGATGACGTCAGCATCAAATGAAGAGAAGAACATTTTTCTGTTCTTTCCGTATTTGAAAACGACTTCGAGAATGCGGTTGATGTATTCATTTCTCTCCATATACCCCAACATCTTCCCTTCTAAATCGCAGTTAATGTATTTGATTTCAATATCAAAACCAACGTGGTCTGGAATCTTAGTAAGCAAATCGGAGAACCTTGGAATGACAGAATGAGGTGTTCCAACTGTGTGTTGTTTACTCATTTCGATGCTGTCATCCTTGTCCAGTGTTTTATATTCGTAGATGGTTGTTTTCTTCTCTTCAGCAAGTAACTGGGCAACAGCCTTTTCAATTTCGTCTTCATATTTTCTTCGTGTCTCCATGTCAAATTCATCAAAACTCCTTTGCTTCATAACTTTAATTGAGACCTCTTCTTTGAGTTGTTTTGCACGTTTTTCGTAATAAATGTGGTCGAGCACAATTGGTTTCAACTTCTTAATTTGGTCGTACCTCAATTTATTAATAGGTACTCGAAGTACTTGAGGGTTTCCAAGGAAATCAGTGGTCTTGATTTGCATCCACAAGTCGTGGTAGATAACTGGTACATTGTCCAACGTGAGTTGCACATCAAATTCGACAAAATCAGTCTTTTGTACCTCAGCGCACAAGAATGAGTCTAACGTGTTCTCCACAACAGCCGAGTTCTTCATTATATTTCTATTTGTCGCACCAAATCCTCTGTGGCCAATAATGACATTATGTAAATTGATGTCAAGTGGTGTGTCATCTTCATGTTTGAAAGAGTCATATATCAAATAGCCCACCTCTAGTTTACCAATAATAACATCATCTTTCACTATTGGTCTCATCAAGTTGCCATTATCAACAAACTCTTCGGCTAAGAAGAAAATGTGCCCTTGGACAACATTGTCTTGCTTCACTGTTAACTCGACGTCGAGATCTTTTCGATCCAAAACTCTGATTTGAACCCGGTTGCCCTCGTGATGCAATTGCCCTTTTGTCTTCACTTCTATTGCAACATTGCCAGACAACGAAAGACGAGAAAATCCAGTCGAGACTTTCTCACCAAAGTACAGACGAAGTTCCCAGCCGTCGCGCAGTTGATGGTTCCAATTTGACATTCTATATTTTTTCTGTTCACTCCTAAGTTTATCTTGTATAATCCGTTTTTAAAGAAATTTGGAGAAGGTTATCGAGGATATATAGAAGACCAGTGTCTTCTTATTTTTTTGTTAACAAATGATGGTTCCAATTATCGTAATATGACTCACTACCAATTCTATTTACCGGAATACCCCGATTAGTATCGATAACTAATAGATAAAAAACAAAATAAGAAAACAATTCTATTCTGCTGTTTTCTATTTTTGGAAGAGTTTTTTTAAAATCGATCATGGAATGTGTTGAATTTAGTTTATTTTACTAAATTATTTACGTTTCATATTTGTTTGATTTGATTGGACACAAGTAACAAAACGAACAACATTGTACTATATTATCATAATTAATTTAATTATATTTATTGAGATAAGCATTTTTGTATAAAGTCACAGCATCAAAAACTCAAAGTAACAACAAGAATGAATAAACTATTTTGTACCCATTAATTTACTATCATGTATTATATTTGTTATATTGATAATACACAATAATCATATTTGCTCTGTCAACTTCAAGAAAATTAACTCTCGTTTTGTTTTTTTTTGTAAAGGATTTTTTTAATGAAGTTCAAATTAAATACAACTCGAAATTGTTGACTTTTTTAATTAAAATAGTATATCATTATTAATAATTTATAGTTAGAAAAGAATAAGGGGAAACTATATTAACTTTATTAATACTATTCGTAATATTTTAGTATTTTATAATTCAAATATCCCGAATATTTGTATAAAAATGGAGTATCATAACACCAAAAATTAATACGATTAACTTTATTCAACTCACTCCTTTGAGACTAAAAACTTCCCAAATTCAATGAGTGCCTTCACACCACGGACTTCTGTTGTTTGCATATTAATCTTAAGTACATGGAAATCCATATACAGTCCATCGATTTGAGCCAAGTACTTTGCTTGAATAGCTCGTTTATTTTTGCAGTATTCGCAGCACTCGTTGACGGGCAGAATTTGGTTCACAACAATCGCGTTAGCGTCCATGTTAAGTGTCATCAGTTCTTGCAACAAACGTTCAGTTTCGTACAGTGGTAAGAACTCTGGGATTAACACGGGGACAAAAGTGGTCAGTTCTGGGTCTGTGAACTCTTTAACAATTTCTTCCGATGTTTTTAACATCGTCTCGAGCTTCGGTTTCATTTCATTCATATCAACGTTCATCCCCATCATCCCGCCAAACTGACTCATCATCGGCCCAAATGTTTCTTGGAGTTTCATAACCTTTTGCATTAAGTCTCTTAAGAAGGATGGCAATGACAAAAATCTCAATGTATGTCCAGTTGGTGCAGTATCGAAGATGACAGTGTCAAACTTCATTTGTTGCGCTTGACTAGTTGTTAAATAGTTAATTATATTAGTAATTATATTATTAAATACTTAATAGATCAAACTGTATGATTTGCGAAAATGCAATGGCTTCGTCAATACCAGGAACGTTCTTAACCATCCCCATCATCCCAGTTAATTCGCTTAAAAGACCCATTCCTTGTGGTTGTTGTTGCTGTTGTTGTGGTTGATCAAACATCCCTTTCATCGCATCTTTCACGTCAATTTCCATCACTGACAAATTATCAATACCAGGCACAGCCATCGGTTCGGCTCCAAACTTGACGTCGAATGCGTCGGACGTATTATGTGCTGGATCCGTCGAAATAATCAAGATTTTCTTTTGTGGGTTTCTCAATGCGGTCGTGACACCAAGACTACATGCTGTAGTAGTCTTTCCAACACCACCTTTCCCACCTACAAAGATCCATCTTAATGTCTTTGACATGATGATATGTTCAAGGTTTGGTGCAAACTCCGCCTCTGCCATTTCCTTTTCGAGTTTTCAAGTTTCCTTTTAATATTCGACCTTTTAAATATTCAATATATTATTTTTTATTTATTGACATAAATAATTTCAATAAATAAGTAACTCTAATACTTCATCACCCATCGTAATTCCTCACTTCTGTTTACTTCCATTTATTAATTATTTTACTATACTATACGTTTTATTACTTGGTGTTCCCACAGACAAACCCTAAAAACAGCACCCTTTTCCATAATATGCAGAAAATAACAAGAAATTACGAGGACTTTGGATTGATGAATTCTTCGCACACAAATAGAATCATGAGGACTGACTCATGGCACTCCTTGAACGCCAGCAATTCCCGGAATGAAAGGAGTGTTTGTTGGACTTCTTTAAAGAACGGCACATACTTCTTAGGGACTTCTTCGACCTTCAGACTGTGGAGCGACAGTAAGATGAATGTTAATTTTGTTTCGATGTTATCTGTCGACATGTCATACACCAAATACGATATCAGAGATAACAAGACTTCGGGTTTCAGTTTTGTTTGACAAAATTCGTCGATGTCGATTGATTGTAAGAAGCTCAGAAGTAAAGCCTCATTCTTGAAGTCCAAGACTTGCTCCAAGTCTTTTCCTAATGACCTTTTGATTTGTTTAATTAAGACGTTCTTAGTCTTTTGAAGCTCTTTCACCTTCTCGAACGTTTCCTTCAAATTTTGGTATGACACACTCAACTCGCTCATTTTCTTCTCCTTTTCTAACACTTCTATTCTCAAATTCTCGGTAATCTGGGAGATTTCTGTCAACTTCTCATTTAATCCTATTATGTCAACTTTTTGAACATCTTCAATCCTCTTTTTCAGTTTGTCCATGTTTTTGATACCATTATTAACTGTCGTCTCATGTTTGTCTATAAACGTCTCCGCCTCAATCATGGCATGTGCTACTAACTGGTTTTGATCCGTATGGGGAATGTAGTCCCGTTTCATTATAATCGTGTCCGCAACACATTTCTCTTTTTGTTCCTTCACAAATTGCTTCGCCCCATTCACTTTATCAATCACATCAGCCTCTTTCTGTCAATCTCAATCACAAATTGTTAAAATGAAAAAGTACAACTAAAAGCGGAACAAACGGAGTCGACTCACCTCCTCTATCTCGTTTTTGCAACCATTGTCAAGTTGGTCCAAGTCGGCCCAATTGATTCTGCTCTGTGCTCGTGGATGTCTCCTCTGCCCGTCGTTCCTCCCACCTGGTGATTGTTTCATTTCGTTTTTATAGTTAACCCTTTATATTTTGTTCATTCCGCCTCTCTCTCAATATTACCAAAAAAGTGAAAACGAAATAACATTTATACAAAATGTTATATATAACAAAATTCAAATAACAAAATCCAGTCAATTCATAAAGAAACTCACATAAACGTGTACTTGTCTTGTTCCATTGTCATTAAATACGCTGCCTTCATATCACCGACAGTGTATCTTAACTTGATTGTGTCCAACTTATTAAACAACACAAAGACACCGAAATCGTTAATACTTGATGGTACAAAATTAATCAGTTCTGGTACAAAATTTGCAGAGTTAGGGAGTTCATAGAAAATGATGTTCTGTATTCCTTTGATTTTCTTTCTGTTGAAGAAGTGAGACCTTTCAGTGATGATCATGAACTCGACCTCGGACTTTTTGAAGGCGATTTCAGCATTGATTTGAGCTCGAGTAGAAATGTATTCACTCACAAATACGCCATTGATGTTCTCTTCTTTGAAGTAGTTCTTCACTCGTAAATAGTCGAAGTAACTTGGGATCATGATGAGGGTGTTTTTCTTTGTTCCAATTTCCATATACCATGGTAAAAAGACTTTAGTGAAATGCTCAAACCGTTCGTCCGGGGAATTTAAAGCAGAAGTGACGGTATACCTATTAAAATTGATTGGAACGTTTCGCACCAATTTGGACAAAGAACCCATTGCAGTGTTTTCGGTGATCATCATTTCTTTACTGTTTTGACACATTCGTACAATAGAGTTGTTTAATGGAGTCTGATACCTTCCATAGATAATACTTTGTCTGTAATATAACCCTTTCTCTTCCACTTCATGGCTATACACTCTTCGAATATCAGTCTCATGTTGTGTCACAGGAAGTTTGTTACACACATTGAGAATTTCCATCAAATAATTCATGTTCTGCATTTCCATCACATCAATCGACTCGATGTATATCAATTTGATCGACGAGAACATGTCGTTCATTGTAGTTCCCTGTTTCTCAATAAACGCTTTGATACCAAGCGGCGATGCGACAATCAAATCCGCTTTAAACGTTTCTGTGTATAAATGAACACCGTCTTTCCCAAAACTGATACCAACACGGAATTTATCGTCGTTGTTCCCTTCAAAAATGTGGTAATAATCTTTTGGTCGATTTTCCATCTCATTTTGCATGTCTCTGAAGCCATTGACAAATCGATCTTCATGTCGAATATTTTTTTGATAGATTGGTCCCATAAGAGACAACAAAGTCTTAATAAAGATCAAAGCAGCTGTTTTGAATGGGAACAAGACAAGTGTGGAACATTGCACAAACCCTAAATCCTTCTGTGGCTCTTCATTCTCTTTACACGAAAGGGTATGTTTCAGTCTTAAACATCTAATTTCCCTCAGATGTGTTGCTATATGTAATGTGTTAACAAGTCTCATCACTGCAAATTGGTCGCCATTCATACGATGAAAGACAAACATATCGGCATACCCTCTTAAATTGAGTAACAGTTTATAATTTTCCTCATCAAGTTCCAGTTTATTTTCCTTCAAAAACTTCACAAATTCTTTCCACAGTGAGATGGGGACATTTTCTGGTCTTTTCCCTATTTCCCCTGTTATCTCTTCAAAATTGCTTTGTACGACTATTTGTTCGTTTTTCTCTACCATCTTCATTGGAAGTTTCATCATCGCTTCTTCGATGGGCCGATTCAAAAAGATGTTCGACATACACTCATCTGTTACATCCTTTGGCAACTCATCAACTTCTGTCTCTTGTGTGATGAAGACGTCAGTCAAGTCTTCTTCGACTTTATCTTCGTCGTCTTCGTCGAGTTTTCCAACTTTCTGAATCTCTTCAACCTCCCGCATAATTTTCCTCCCTCTTTCCGTCTCAGTCATTTCTTTCTTCTCTTCTTGTTGTTTTTGGCCCTGTTCTCCCTTTTTGGGTTCTTTGTCAAAATTAAGAATGCCTCGTTTCACCCTCTTTTCTTTCGGATTCGAAAATGAAAACGCACCCTTCTTCTTATTTCCACTGGATCCTCTTCTCTTCATCTCTCTCTGTTCTTTCAAATTCCTTGTTGATCTTCTTTAAAAAATTATTATTTTCTTTTCAAATGAGTATTTCAAACACGTGCCTGTTCTTAAACTATATCTTATTGATTAAATTACTATCATAAAACTATTCAAAGTAAATATTTTTTGAGAAGACAACCCTAATAATTTGGTCTGAATGGTCATTACAATCCAACGAACAATAAAACTAAAAACTATTCATTATGATGAATTTACTAATATTATAGCTTTTCCTTTGTTTACTAATCAAAAATTTGGCAGTGTCGTACTCTTCTTTGGTACAACATTGGGTCCATTTCCACAACTACTTGTACGTGTAAAACTGGGTGTGGTGTGTGTACTGCATGAATTATTCTTTCTTGTGTTGATCCTCTCTTGTAAAGAGCTACCCTCCAATGATTTTTGGAAAGGGGTTTGGACAGGACTTGGGACATTACCCTTATTTTTGAGTGGTTCCATGTTGGGTTGAGTTTGTTTGTCAGCGTCGCCCTTTTTTTTATAAACATTATTCATATTGAGTTGAAAGTATATGTCTGGGTCTTGTCGAATGAGGTCGGATTGATAAGAAGGAGGAAGTACTTTATGGCAGGTCATTTGTGGGATCACGATTTTAGTAGTGGCGTTAATTTTTGGTTGTGTTGCAAGATCTTTGCGAAGACTTAATTGGTCCTTTTGTGTTTCTCGTTTCGGGATGTTTTCTTCGATTTTCTGAACGACATCTTCTGTTGGGAATGGAATCATTGAAGCAGTGAGTGATTCTTCTTCCATCTGAAATTCATTTTCTGCTATGTCATTGTTGACCTTCTCTTTGTCGAGTATTTCTTCTTCCATTTTTTGTTCTTGTATAATGTGAGTCTTCTGTTTGCGTTCCACGTGTGGGAAATCCACTGATTTGATTCTCTTTGCTGTATCCCCAGGTTCCGCTATAATAGTTTTCTGGCTATCACTTTTGTCCAAGACTATTTCCGCTTCGTTTGAGATAACAAGTTGTTGTGTAGTGAGTCCCTTTAATATTTCAAGTCCCGACACTTTGCCTTCCCCCGTTACCCAATTTGGAGTTTCTTTTTTGTCAAGGGGTATAGCGGATTTTCTTATCGACGGGCGTACCTCCGCGTCTTCGACGAATGGGTCGTCCATTTCCATTTCTTTTCGGAGCGGTTGAGTGTCTTTCAGTTGTGTGTCTCTTTTTTCTTTGAGTCTGTTGTTTGGTTTCGTCATTTCTTGGAAAGCTAAAGACTTGCGGCTACTCATCGCCAAATCAAAATTTCTAGTTTTTTTATTTTTATCTTTTTCTGAAGTTTTTCTGTCCTTTGAAAGTTCGTTTTCTCTTTTTGAAAATGGGGGCGTCAATTATTTCTATTTCAGTATTTCACACAGGCTGACGACGGAATGTCAACAAAACACCGCTTCACACTTTTCGGAATCTTCAACCGCAAGTTGTTGCACTCCGTCACACACAGTTCGGACAGATTCCCATTCTTCATGTTATCAAACGCGATGATTTCTTTGCACCCATAAACCATCAAATACTTCAGGGAGTGCGGGAGGACTATTCTCTTCACCATGTCGCACACTATGATACTCAGTCGCTCAAGTTTTTGAAACCGGAGTAAGTCAATTTGCTTTCTTCCGACGCCCATCAACACTCGTAATGATGTCAAACTTGTCGGATATAAATCAGTGTTAACTACCATCTTTGATATATCCAAGTGTTTGAGACGCACAGCAGATAACATTGAAACATTCGACTCTATTGAAAGCACTTCTAAGCTCTGAGGTAGGACAAGAGAAGACGACTTTGAGTAATTACCAACTTCCAATTCGATGAGCCCATCATTCAGTTGGACTTGTATATCAGAATCCGTTATCGAAAATCTCGTGAGTGTGTTTGGCAATAAGAATGTTGTTTTGATGTTACACCCTTTCAATTCCATAGCTCTGAGCGGTTGTGTTGCAAACACATTAGGGTTTACATCGCATCCATCAAGTCTGAGTTCTTCCAAATTAGCGTCTTGTAAATTAGTAATGCAATATCCATTAGTCAAGAGCTTCAGTGAACTTACACTTGTTGGTATATTGACTTGTGTGACTGGCACTTTCCCTTCTATTTGAAGTTCTTGGATGTGTGTGTATGTTGTCAAGTCAACAACTTTCATCCACTTTGGTATCGTTTCGTATAACACCAATTTGCGAGTGAGCGAGTCTTCCATCAATTCTTCAAATAAGTGCATTTCTCCAAGGGTCTCCATCTTCGCCGAGAGTCCGTCGTGCTCCATGATAACTGTTTGCCGTCGTGTGTACTCACACATGGTGCTGTCATACTCGCAACACACAATCACGTTGTTTGGCATCACCTCTCGCACTTTATCAACGTCGTCTTCTGAATAAAGTAAAATGACATTAACGACACATTGCAACTCTCTAAATATCGGTGCTAAGAGTATCGCAGTTGTTTGTTCGCAACTTACTGAGAGTGTTTGAAGTGTTGGGACATCTCTTAACTCATAGAGCTTCGAGAAGCAGAATGTTTGTTGTTCTTCTTCTTTTTGGGGGAAGTCAATAACTTCGTTCTGTGAAAAGAGAACACTCAAGTACCTGAGTTGTGTCATCTCTGCAAAGTCCATTTCATCGGGGAAGTCATTCGAGTCCTCGTCGATCTTAAGCGAGAGACTAGTGATTTTCGGAGCAAGGGTTTTGATGAGGAGCATCTGCTCTTTGACCAACAAAGGTTCTTCGCTTTCATTAATTTCAATTTGAGAGTAATGAGGAAAGACTCCTTCTGGGATGATTCGGATTGTGTCAGTATCGCATTGAAGGCACTTAGCAGACGGAAAGTATTTTAAAACCTTTAAAAGTTGCATTGTTCTGTTGACTGTGAGTTCGATAGGGGTCATGACATGGGTGTCGACTTGTGGCAGAATAGTCGTCTCTTTCGTGTCAAATGTCTTTTTACACAGTTTACTCACAAACACAAAGCGTTCGATTGATGTGATATCAGTGATATATTCCGATATGGTTCCCAATTCTTTTAGAGTAAAACGTGGGGGTGCCATAAACAACAGTTTTTTTCAAGTTTTTCTTTTCTTGTTGTTTGGTTACTATGTATTATAAATAATTATAAAACAATTAAATATTTACTATAAGACTTTGAGACGCAAAACAAATAAAAAAGTACATATGACGAACAGAAAGAAAGACAACATTGAATTAGATATTACTAAAATTACGTTTGGGGAAGATTATTGGAGCTACAAGGGTCCATATGTAGAGGATATGGCAAAGGAAGCAAACTGTTCCTTTCACAAAGAATGCGTATTTGCCCGTTTCGACTCTTGGTGGGTTATATTTAAACACCGACCAGTCGCTCAAGTTTTGGAGCATGAAAAGTGTCGCAACGCACATTGCCATGTGAAATTTCCAATAGACATATCTCTTCTGGATTTTGCCAGTCAATGTATCCGCCTGGTCGGGTAAATGGTCATCAATTATCGAAGTCTCTGATATCTCATTCGAGTTTCTATAAGCCTGGTAAGCCACAACAGCAACAGTGAAGAAGATGCCGAGGAACGACATCCAATCGTAGTTGGACATAAGCGACGAATTATCAGCACAGTCGGTGACTTCCCAACATCCGTTCAATTCAGAGCAAGGCTGTGAGGTGATTGCAGTGAACAACAAATACGAAGTGTATGCTGCAACAACACTCGACTGGAAAATACCGGACGTTGGCTTGTACTCTCTCACTCGTGGTAGCATCGAGATGATCGTCGAAATGATTGAGATGACCATATTAAGTGCGGTAAACAGTCCGTTGTACACTTTTGATTTACAAGTCCCTTTACCAGTCGATATCGAGGTGAACTTTACAAACGTGAAAATGGAGAGAATGAACATTAATGAAAATGCCAACACTGAGGATCCAAGTAATAACACTACATATGGATCTAAGCACCTTTTAGTGTTAACCTTATTCACCATTTTAACATTGAAAATTGCAGCGAAGTTGAGAAACGAAATGAGCGTATACAAGTAGAAAAGAACAGCCCCAGCGGCGGCTAAATAATTGAAGACTGTGTGGACCCACGTTGGTAACAAAAATGTCATTGTTGAGAGAAGGGTGACTAACACTATTTTGAAGAACCAATACCCGTCATGGAATAATACAAATGGCGATCTTGGCGATTCATTTTGTATGAAAAATGAAATGGCGAAGAGGATCATGTGGAAACAGAAGTACGCCTCCATGCATCGCGATAAGATGACCTGCGAAAAGCATTCGGCAAACGTTTCATCGTCAGAACTTGTTGCGCAGAAGAAGATGTAGTTTGAAATACTATTACCCATCGACCAACTTGCGATACGCATTTTACTGATGAAGTCGCTGAAGATGTAAACAATCAGACTGTACCCGAAAAAGAGGAGAATATACATTGCCTTCACCCCAGATATTTGTGTCACTTTTTTCAGTAGTTCGATTACTTTATTTCGGATGGCAAGTAAGTTGAAGTTTTTACAAGACAAACAAGGCATGACTTCTATTTTTTTAGTTGCGTTTTCGAGTTTGTGTTGCACAAACAGTAAAGTCTCTTCTATTTTTCATTTGTTTTTTCGTTGACGATTGAAATGGTTCTCTTTATAACACTTTTACTATTAAAAGTTTATGCTCTTATTATTCATACACAGACAAATTAATTTGACTTTGGGTATTTTTATTAATTGTTATTGTTAAGTATATCATTCTTGATTATAAAAACATTATTCAAAAGAAAAAAAAATTTTGTGATAGAAAATGTATAATTGTATTATAAATACGATTTTTATTTTATTACAAATTATACACTCTTGAGAATGTGTTTATGAGTGTATGTTTATTATGTTATGTTTATGTTATTATGTTACAATGTTTAAAAATTAATAAGCATTTGACAATAATTTATTTGAATAAATTGTGATTTTTTGGTAACCTAATATGAGATATATAATGTTCTATAATTTAAAATAATGTATACAACAGAATATATTATTTACATTCAATTTAACATAATGTATGTACAAGTTAAATTATGACAACATGTATGTATTTATGTTATAGTAAACGATTCTATTGTTATATTGTCGGTCTGTTTTGTCACAACTCCAAGAACAAATACAAAATAGCTGAAATGAAATAGCAAAGAAGATAGGTGAAGACCAAAACTAAATTTTTATATTGATTTAACAAGAAAAAACTGAAGGAAACAAGAACCAAACATTATTGATAAAACTGGAAATTTTTTGGGGGAGATTTTATTATTGAATATATTTAACAAAATGAGGAATTTAGTGCAGTTTCGTATTTCAAAAACGTGAAAAAGAATAATTATCAACTAAAAAGTAGTTCAATTACCCTTTATTTTTATTAACAACCCATTAACTTTATTATTCAAGTTAAATGATCAATAAGTATTAATACATTTAACTTGAAAATTGTGAAGTTTGTCCCAACAACAAAAAAATCAAATTACAATTGAATTGCACTTTATTTTTTAACATCATTTTAGGGACAGCAATGTTCTATTTGTTGCAATTGAATAACATTCTTATACAGACCCTATATTCAATCAAAATCCATAATTTCTATTTCTATTCCGCTTGAAATTTGCCAACGTGTTCAACTACAAAATAAAAACCCAAAAAAGCAATAAAAACACAACATTTTCAACATTACACTTATTTTAATAACAATAAAACATTAGTATAAATAGAAAACAATAAACAACAGGCTTAAAATGCAATCGGGTTTTACTCAATTATATTTTTATAATATTTTAGAGAACATAAACCATACAATATAATTGATATCTTAGTTCATTTTTAGATTTTTACAAGAGAACCTTCCAATGTGAACAAGAGTTCAATTTCCAAAAAAAAATAAAAAAAAAATAAATTTTTGGCCCAATTCTGTTGGAATGGAAAATTATGAATGGTCGACAACGGATACCTCTTCCATCACATTTCAGGCAAGCAACTCAAGTCAAAATCAACATTTACAAGTAAAATCCAAAAAGAAACAAACGTTCAATGGTAAGAAATAAAAAATCGATTTTGCCATTAAAAATCTGATGAACCACACAGTCGTAAAATGTCATTTCAACAGTAGTATTTCGGCAAATACAAGAAACTGTTACTAAAGAATATTTGGAACGTTTTGTCCTGTGAGGTAATGCCATTTTAAAGAAAACGGCAGGTTTTGGACTGTGGTGACAAACCCAGCACATGTGTTAAAATGATTGGGTATTACCATACAAAATGGTGAAACCCCAGTTGAAAATATCAAAAAATGGTAAAGTTGCACCAAAACAGAACAAAAACACAAAAACATGAACAAATTAGATTTCAGAGCTTTTAGCAACAAAGTAAGACGAGAGTGCCTCGTCCCCAAGCGAGAGTATTAGTGTCTCGTTTTTGCTCTGTTTTGCGAGGATAGCGCGATGAATTTCTTCACCGGTTCGAATGAGATATTCTTTGCCAAGTATTTCATTCTCAGGAGTGGTCACGCTCATTACCTTTTCGGTTATTGGCGCTCCATTTTGTCCGGACGTGAACACAGAGTGGAATGTGTACCCAAGTTCTCTGAGAACATCAATCAGTATTTGAATTGGGTCTTCCACTTTATTTCTTGCAAGTCGCCGCATCGCTGTTTTCTGTGTGATTCCATTCTTTAAGTCCCACTTGAAGATCTCCTCTTGCCGCTTTGTAGTAAAGCAGTCGAAGTCGATGACATCTTCGCCTCTTTTGAGAACACCTATGTGGAAGACTTGGAGTGCGACAGTCGACCGTTTCTTTGGAGGGATGATTGTGACTTCAAAGTGTTTATTAAGGAGTCCTATTAAGACCGATTGGAGAGTCACAAGGTAGTTTCTCTTGTCTCGGAAGACCTCCGAGTTGTTCTTCTTTGAACACCTGTGTTCGCGCTGCATACTATGTTTCAGTATTAAAGTTCGGTTTTATTCACAGTTTTGGAACGGCAGTCCTTCCATTTAGTTCTACGTTTTAGAAAACTTGCGTTCATTTCCGAGAGGTGTAAAACTATTCCAAAGTCAACATAACTAGACTTTTACTATTATTTTGGTTACAGATTGTCCTTCGAACAGTCGTTATTTATAGTTAACCCTTCCTGTTTCTTCATTCTATGTTTGCGTTTGTTCTTTTTTTTTTCGTTGATTTCTTGTGAATTGTATTTTTTGTGGATTCTCACTTCCCAAGTTTTCGCAAAATACGCCGTAGTATTTTTTCTGTCTGCATCAAAAAAGGGAGTATTCTGCATTTTTACTTTTCTTTCCCATTTTTGTTATTGATTTGGTAAAGTTACTGTTATTTTCTGCAATTTTGTGGCTGTTAATTGCCACTCTTAATTTTTGCCTCGATATTTCAGAACAGCAAATGCTCATTCAGTGTCAAGTCTAATTCGTTTTTTGAGAGAAAAAGATCTCATTATTTTGCACAATTTTTTTCAATGACGTTTTTCTGTTGAATTAAGGTGCGCATTTTAAAATACAAAAAAAACACAACTATATTTATATTATAAATATATTATTATTTTACTATTATTTTGAAGGGGATTTTTTAGATGAGTTTTTTTCGATCAAATATATTTTAGAGTTCAGCTAGTCCAAAAGTTCAAAAAAGTGAAACATCTAAATTTGGTTTAAAATAACATTTCCATTTGTTATAAATAAAAACTCGAAATCCCGTTATTTTGTTGCAAATTGATGCAAAATTAATAATAATTGATATAAAAAATGTATTCCAAAATAATATATTTCTGGCATTGAAGAAAGGTGCACATTTGGTTTTTTCAATTACTTTTTAATTATGAATGAAATTAAATGAAATTAATATGTTGTTTAAAATTATAATTATATTATTATAAATTATTATTATTTAATTTGAAATTGTCTTTATAATAATGACAGTAATTAAATTAACTATGGATTTTTATATTGATAATTTATTTTTATATTATATTACCATTAAGTATGGCAAATATATTATGATGGTAATAGCCAATCATTATTTTAGCAATCTTTAATAACAAACATATTTTTAAATTTATAAATAAATATTATAATATAAAATAATAAACCAAAACCATATAATAACCATTATTAAAAACTCAACCTTTTTTTTTGTGAATAATCCCGATTATTAAAGAAGTGTTTGTGCGACATAATTAATTTTTTTGATTATTATTTTATGTTAACTCTAATACTATTTATACTAAAAGAATAATGTACAAGGTTTGGTTAAAAAAATCGCTTTTGCCAACCACTTAATCCAGTTTTTTTATTTTAGAAAAAAATGGGACCAATAAATTTTATTTTGGTTTGAAAATAAAACTCTTTTTCTGGTGTTTAATATTTTTATTTCTAAAGTGATATGAATTAAATACCCCACCAAAAACTCATTAAAAATTTGAGAAAAATAGACAAATTTTTGCCAAATTTTACCTTTTTTATTGTTTTTTTAAATATATCTTATACTTATTATTAGTTAAGTAATGTATATTAGTGTAAATAATAATCTAAAAGATATCATTGATTTTTAACATATGATTTTTTTTGTTATTTCACTCTTTCATTTTAGTAAAATAATGATAATTATATTATCATTTATAATTAAAAAAAATTGATTCAATATAATTCTTTTGTTTATCGTTTTTACATAATAAAAATTGAACTATATTATTTAAGATTTGTTTAATAAAAAAAAAGCCAATTTTAACTAATTAATTAACTAATCAACAATCCAATAAAAAATTGAGGATTGGGTTTATTTCATTATCAACACAGTTCTGTAGAATCTTCATCTTCGACGTCTTCAAACCGACAGAACTCCTCGTCAATGACGACTCCGATACTCTTGAACGCGTCTTTGACTCTCATTTCGGTGAATGTTTTCCTCAAAGCTCCTAGCCATTTCTCGACACTACAGACCTCCTTCTTCTTAATCAGACTACGTTTGTATTTCTCTATCAAGCAATTGACCATCTTACTCATAGGCAAGAAAGAGTCTTCAAGAGCTTCCTCAATATATAGAATCTTCACGTTTTTGCTCCAATCTTCCCTTTCAAGTTTGAACCGTCGAAAATAGTCCGACACAATCAAAACAACGATATCACACTCTCCCTCACCAAACATGGAATCCTTCAAATACTGTACAACAATCTCTCGTGTAAGGACACCATCCTCTTCGACGACCAGAGTCACGTCCTGACCACCATTGAATATTTTCTTTTTCTCTTTCTCACTCGAAACAATCGCAAGTGGCGCAACACATCCTCCATCAGCACGAATAGTACCAAGCACCTTCGACTCCCCATATTCCCTCCCAACTTTAAAATAGGTTGGGTGATTTGGTACCCACACGCTAGTCACTTTCTTCTTATCTAAGTACTCCTGGTATCCAACCAATTCAGTGCAAAATACACGACTTGGCTTGACGAATTCAACGCGAGACATCATGTCACGCCCCTTCTCTTTCTCGCTTTTTGTTGGCAACACCAACCGAAACGTCTGTTGAACATCAACCGTTTTTACTTTTGCATTCTTCATGTACTCAGAGACGTTGTAGTCGTGTGATAATGACAATACGCCTTTCCATGACAGTGCCGTCTTGTTCTCTATTAAATCTTCCACACAACGTTTGAACGAAACAAAAGAATCATTTCCAGTTTGGGGGACTGGGTTTTGTAAGGTGAGCCATTCACTCTTCTCGTCACTATTTTCCGTCACGTAAGAAGAGTCGTCGATCACAGACCGTGAAATACACGAACTCCGCAGAGGTGTAGCGTAGAACTCTCGTATACATTTTTGAACTTCATTAATGGAGATGTTCAAGTGTTTGGCGATACTGTGTGGGGTCATATACTCCGTGTGTGTGAACAAAAACCCGACTTGATCTGCCAAGGACTGTTGTGATGATAATTCCACTTCGTCTATTATCGAGTCGATGTATTTCTCTTGAAGGATTTGTGATTGTGGAAGTGACTTTTGACGACGAGGTACTTGAGTTAAGTAGACATCCATTACCTTTATTATTTTAATGTTCTTCTATTAATATTTTATTAATATTTTACTTGGCAATTATTTGACAACTTGGTTATTAGATTGGTAAATAAAAAAAATTAGATTGTTATAGTTTTTTTTCTTATTGCAATTAATATATTATATTATATTATATCTATAACCCTTTAACTTTTTTCAATTTTTTTATTTTTATTTTTAGTTTTTGTTTTCATTTGAATTGTCAAACAATAATAAACAATATTATATATTTTTTTATATAAAAATTTTAATTTATTTTTAATTCACACAAAACTATTTTCTTTTATTAATTTTTGATCATTTCCCGATTATTTAAGCATAAGTAGTTATTTCTTTTTTAATGACTGTAAAAACCAAAATGTCAAAAAAAGAACTAGAATGAACCAATAAAAAAACTAAACATAGTTTCTAGTCAACCAAATATTTTAATCATATTTTATAAACAAAATAGTTCGCTGTTTGTGTCTGTGTGTTATTGACACATCTCACAACCACTTTTTTGTTTTTTCATTAACACGACTTAATGAAAAAACATGAATAAAACATTTTTATTCATGGTTGATAAAATTCTTTTGATGTTCTTCTAAAGAAGGTATTGACTTTGAAAGCGTTCTGTTGATACGATTCAACGACAGTCTTAAAATAACTTTCTGCTTCGCTCTTGAGTTTCTCTGCTTCACTTTTTATTGAGTCATCTCCATTGGTTGCTTGTTCATCTTTTGTGATAAAGTTTTTGACGAGTAAAACGAATGGGTGAATAGGTTGATACAATTGTTGTGGAAAATTCCCAAACGCTCCTTCGAAGAGTTTGTCATACACTTGTTTCAAGTACTTTGCTCGTGAGTTTTCAGCCATTTCAAACACTTTGACAATTTCCAAA